GCCTGAGACGTGCTTGTCTTACCTGGTCACCTGGCACCGCCAAGATCTGGTTGTAGCCACTCAAACAGGTCAATTAAGTGCACAGTGTAAATCTATAACCGTATCGCCAAAACAGGAGATCAATGTTAAGTGACCCAAAATAAAATGTTATTGATTGTAAACCTAGATTGATGTCAGCTTGAACAAAGAATTATCGGTCATTAACTGTGTGAACTTCCACTATGGTATATTGCAGATCATTAACTGTGAACAGTTGATAGAGTAACGAGGTATATAGTACATACTCCTGTTTCATATTCAGGAGCAACACTTAAATCTATAAATACGAGGTAGTCTAGTAGTTTAGTGAAACATCCATTCAAGGCAATATCATTATCTAGATAAGTTAACTTCATGTCATGCTTTTGTTATTTGCTAATAACAGTGCCAGCTTGCGTTTTGTTTTTGCTCCTCAAATTATCAGCTTTCATGACACAAAACTAGTTGCTCATGGGAAGAGAGACCGGTGGATTGGCCAAATATTAAGTTTCTAGAGACAGACCTATATGCTACTGGCCACCAGCTGTCACAGCCACCAAAATGTGTAAGCCATCTACACAGTATCCCCATTACAGTAACATTGGTAACAGCTACTAAACGTGAGTGATTTTGATTTAAAAAAACAAACAAAAAAACATTTGCAGTGGCAATCAAGCTGAAATTCCTATTTAGGTTACAGCATGTGAAGGGTCACAGCCGTGAAGTGTCTAAAATGGTTGCAAAGACTCACTAAAATGTTTGTCTGGAGCATGTTAAGTTAGGAAATCCAGATGCAGGAGGTAAAGGAAGCTATAGTACAGTGAGCAGTCAGAGGCAGAATGGATATTTATGTGTGCAACAATCTAACCATTTGGCCTGACTTCTTTCTCCAGGGAGCAGCAACATTTGAATACTCCAGTTGTGCAGAGGACACCTGACGTAGAGAGGAAACCTTCCTCTTCTTTTGGGACTGGACCTCTACCAGCAAAGATTCAGGGTCATCTCAGAGCTGGAAAACCTAATGTAGGATCATTTTCTGAGACACCCCTCCAAAAAACCCCACACATAACCCTGCTGGTTTTCATTTACTAACTTAAAAACCTTGTGTAATCAATCAGATCAACAAAAAGTGAGTGAAAATAGGAAAACTCAAAAAATATGTTCTGTCTTTGAGTGATGCCATGTGCGGACATGCATTTTAGGCATTTTAGAATTTGTTTCATTTGATTCTTCTGTACACTGGTCCTCATTCAAGTCTCACCGTTAGGTAGTAGGGACAATCTTTTGTTCTATCCTTGTCAGTTTTGTTCCCACCATTTTGCTTTTGAACTAGGATACTGGTAGTTGGTGGTGTCTGAATGGTTGTGCATGTGCGTTCGTCCAGCCAGTCTCACTCTTCTTTTTCTAGTTGAACCTAACGTTGTGTGAAACAACTGCTATCGCATCCTCTACTTTCCATCTCGTGTTCAGAAAGATAATACAAGGATGTTGAGGTTTTTGAGTTGTGTAAGAATTTGAGAGTTTAATTTAAATAGTTTGTTTGGACGACTTTCTGAATGTGAAGTAGAGAATGTGTGCAGCTTTCTTCTAAATATCCCTAAATTCCCCATGTGTGAAAAGTTATCATAAATGAGTCTGATTTTTGAATGGTGATAGTCTTACAAAAGCTAGTAGTAGACATAGTATGGTTTGTGAGGCTAAATAAAAATAAATCCTTTAAAAATAAAAAAAACAGGAAATCAAAAGGAGTTTTGTTGGAAAAAAAAAAACTAATAATCTACTTGAAATGCAATGCTGTAAAAGAATTGGGGGAAAAAAATAAAAAAAAGTTTGTGTTTTGGGGTAAAGACCCATCATGAAAAGACAACTACAGCCATTTCTGCAGACACCTGTGTTGCAACTGAATGAAACTTTGTTTTATTTTTTTGTAATTTTTATGGTACAGACTATTGGTGCTATAAATATGTTCAAAAATCTTTTTGAAGTTGCAGTTCCATAATATGGCTGTGATAAGTAGACGACATAGCCTAGTTTTGTTTGTAGTCCACACAGTCAGACTCCATGAATATCTTTTTGCGAAAATTGTAAAAAGGAGAAAAAAGTTTTTGCCTGATCAGTTGCTTAACGTGGCTTGGTTTTTATTTTAAGGTAACCTCTTAGTGGTGAGGCCTGTAACAGTTAAAAATTTAAATCTCACGTTTCTACACATCGTTTCAATTCGTCCCCAAGCAGAAAGGACAAAATCAGCATTGACTGATGGTTAGTTGTCCACGCTGCAAGTAAACAAAAATATAACAAAACAAGTGGTGGGGGGGCGATGGTCAAACCAAAAACATGGCATAATTACACTAAGGTACAAATGCTTTTTTTTTTCCATATGAGGTGTGTTTTTATTTTTTGGTTTACAATATATCTTGTTGAAATATTGAGTAATGTCTCACTTTGTGTGTGTGTGTGTTTGTGTTTGTGTGTGTGTGTGTGTGTGTGTGTGTGTGGCAACAGAACTTGTGAAGGCACTGGTTCAGAATGAGTGTACTAGAACTTTATCTCAGAGAAATGTGAATGTATGCAGAAACATACTGTACATTCACAAAAACGCAAATGCATTAGTTCCCCCTAAAATTGAAACACACCTGAGCAAATTAGCTATAGAACCTTTCGAGGTATGGTTGGACCGGCCCTTCTTGTGACCTGTGCTTTGAAAATTTAATTGAGCTGAAGCATCTGCAGATAAATGCATTTCTTATTGCCTGCTGTTTTTTTGTTTTTTTGTTTTTTTTGTCTTTGTTTTTTTTTTTTTTCAAACAGGTTATGAGGACGGGGTGACTTGTTTGTCACATGATACCATGAAACTGAAGCACAGATAACTAAAATAATCCCTCCATTAATGAGCAATTAAAAATATGTCAGCAGTGTGAACAGACTCGCTGTAATGCACTGTCGCAGGTGAAGGTGTCTCTATTGCGGGCATGGCTTTTGGAAATGGCTTCCTTATTTAAAAAAAATGCAAAGATTGTATGTAAAGGTTTGTTCAGTCCAATTCCACTTCAATTGAAAAAGGACCCCCCCAGTAGCTGAATGAAAGGTACTCCAACTTCAGGGTCTTGTCACCTTTCTTTGACAGTCATCGGACACTCAGGAATTTTTTAATACAAGCATACTGCATAATCTACACTCAGACCTGTGACAGTGCATTGATGCATTAATGTAAAACCTTTCTTTGATTGTAGAGCAGAAATTATTGACCAGCAAACCTGCAAAAGACTGTCAGTAATTTAGAGCTATAGTTTTAGAGGAGAAAAAAAAAAAAGAAGTAAGCCATTGTAGGTTGCATAAGCAATGCGGAGGGGAATTCCATAGCCCTGAGTCCTATGCAATACCTTGGCGCATGTAAACATTCAAGAATATATGGAGAAAAGTCATTCAGTTAATTTTGCATGTTACTTTTGATCGAGGGACACCAGAGAGAGAGAGAGCAGGAGAGAGAGAGAAGACAAAATATGGAATGTCTCTGAAAATGCAGCATGCAAACATCACACTCCATCTTTTTATGTTGGATTAAACAAAATGTTTTGGTTTAATAAAAAAAATACAAGTGAGGTTAAATCTGATTAAAAGAATGTTATGAGTGCGCATGTGTGAATCTGTGAGTGAGTGAAGCTAAGTCACAAAAGGCACTTAGATAGGAGTCGAAAGGAATGCATCACACCTTTCTCCATTTAATTCTTCCATTTTGATAGGCAGTGGTTAAAAAAATAAAATCAAAAAAGTATGACGAGAAAATGCATTCAGTGAGGATATATGCATTTGGAACGACACCGAAAGGGTCGCTGAGTTTCGATTGCACTGTGGTCTGAAGAACATATCCAGCACTGAAAACTTGAGTTTTCCTCGTCTTTTCATTCCCACCTAGATGCTCCTTCACCCTGCCCCGTTCCTCTATGTTCCTAAATCCCATCTGTCCCGAGTAGCTCTGTTGTTCTAATTTCATGTACACCCTGAGTAAATTATTTTGTTTCATTGTGGATTTTCTTAACATCTAATAAAGGAATAAACCAAACCTCAGCCTGTGATCCTCTGTCTTTTTTTTGCTTCTTATCTTTTATTTATTTAGTGTGTTTGCTCAGGTGGTGACAACTCGGAGAGAAAGCTTTACCTTTTAAATCCATTTCCTCACGGTGACACTAGGGGGCAGGGTGAGGATGCTGGAACAGGAACAGCCAGCTCCTTCATTATTTATGTCACACATCAGGCTTTAGTCACTCTTTCTGTTGATACTTAATCATATCTTAGTAATAGCTTTAAACATTTTAAGAAACATTTAAATTCTTATATTTTATTATATTTCCCTGTCTATAGACGATTTAATAGGTTGTAATGAAATAATATGAATCACTTGCACTTTTTGCAGTTATAAAAATAGGTTTATGTATATATATGATATATTGTGCTTATATATTGGAAATGTGACACTAGAGATGGAAATAATGAGATTACTGGAATGAAATTTGCACATCTTGCATACTTTGTTTTTAACCTTTTGCGTTGATAGATGTAAATCCAAAGTTTGCCATAAAATACAAATCAGTATGATTTATGTCAGTCACCTGTAAAACACATTCAACTGCACAAAGAGTGCTTTCTAAATAAACTTTGATCGAATTATATTGAGCAGGTGGGCCAGGACCTGGAATCAGTGTCTCAATCAATAAGGCATTTTACTGCCCAATAAAATAATAAAAACATTTAGGAAGAGTTCCTCGTATCTACGCAGGATATTTTTGAGTCTGAAAATGGAAATCCTCGTTATTACACGAATACAGGTACAATGTTTTAAACCTTAACGAGAGCTATAACACATTGAACATCTCATGTAACAACTGTAACTCTTTGAGATAAACTTTTCTCACCAACACGTCTTCATACCGTCAGTCTGTCGGTACTCAGGTTGCGAGGTCGATTATTAATGCCTTCAGGTCCAGACAGGTGAATCCATCGACGGGGAACATTCTAGACTCGATTACACGGCACTCACGGCACAAGTTTGTTTTAAAATGGCGGCGGAAGCGTCGAGACAGGTATGAAACGTTAACGATACCGGATAAACTTGTGAAATGTGCTTGTTCGTGTAACTCGTTAAACACCGGAGAAGTGTTTCCTCTCCTGCAGTGATGCCGTCTGAGCAAAAAAATGTCTGCCGCATTTTAACTTCATTTGGTTTCACTTGAGGAAGCGCTGGTAAAAATCAGTGAGTTGGCATCAGCGGCAAGTGCACTTGGCAAGTCCGGTTCGACGTGGTGTTTGTGTTTTACCCGCCGCCCTTTGTTTTCGTCTTGAGGTGAATTTATGTGTGTGTTCCGACAAATGACCTTACACTGGTGCTGTTTGTGTACACTGAAGCTGCGTTGAGGAGGCAGGGAAGTGATGGTGGTACAGCAGTAGTCACAGCATCATCATGGACCGCCCCGGTCGGCGGCTACCTGCCACCCACCTGTAGCATCAGTCGGCAGCATGGCGAACACGACCCTCGGTACCCAGGACCGGAGAGGCAGCCGCTGTGGTAGGTGACTACAATATGCTGTCACACGTCTCGCTATGTATTATTAGGGTTAACACACACCACATAAACTCTGCCCTCACACTGTTTGTCCTGTTATCCCTAGTAACATCACAGGTCACGCCAAACTGCATTTAAAAATGGTTAAAGTTAAATAAAGCCTCTGATATTGTACATTTACACAGCTAATAGACCATGGCGCCTAACATTTTTGAATTATTTAAAACCAGTCTTCAATTCGGCATGCAGTCAATATACCTAAGGTGAGATACATTTTAAACTTTTAACATTTCTGAATTGTTAGAACCCAGTCTTTAATTGGGCTAGTCTACAATACAGTTACAATACAGTTACAATACAGTCTACAATACAGTTAAAGTATCAAGCGGTACGTGCTGAGGTAAAGTTTAAACCCCACAGTTAATAAACTATGACACATAACAGATAACATATAAACTTTTATCTACTAGGACTTGTTAAATGTTCACCCCCATCCTGCTAGATGTATTTGTAAGACCGTACAAGGAAGTGTTTAGTCCTGAACACTAAAAATACCATGAAATATTGTTTATATCATTATTATATATTTATTTTAAAAGTTTTATATTGTTAAAACCTAATCCAGCTGACTTAAAAAGAGTCTCCCGAATGTATATCGACCAGAGAACCAGGCTGTCAGGTATTGTTTGTGTGTCATGTGCCCTGTATTATATGCATCACACATGCATTCCAAACTTTGGCTGAAGCAGTGCCCCTCAGAAATGTGTATTGTGTCTCGGCCCAAACGGAGAACAACTTTCTAAGAAAAGCGTTTGCACACACTTCAGAATCTGTGATGTTGTCCTACCTAAGATGAAATTGATGTTGCGTTTCCTCATAATGCCTGTTGATAAAAATATCATGACTCGCTGAACAAGATCTGTGTGTGAACTCAAAAATGGGTGGCACAGTCAATTAGACAATAACAGCGGTCCATGACTTATAAAAACACGAGCATGCATGCCTAGGTTGGCGTGGCCTTCCAGTTTACTGCTAATACGTTTTCATGCTAATGGTTAAAACCTGATGAGTGACATTGCATTTTTATTAATACATTTCAAACAAGGACGGCAGTTTTTCAGCAGCATGGTAATATTAGTAATGAGTTTTTGTACCAATGCTGGCATTTACTGGTGGCCTCTGGTTGTATATAATTTCCACAGTGGCACAGGGACAACCTGTTGCTGTGTTTTGGGACAAAGTGTACCAGGCTCACATGACAACCTGCAGGTCAGGGTTTAGAGCTTGGGTAAGAATCTGGCTTTGTGTGTCAACCACTTGGAAAACATTAGGCTCCGTGTTAGGATTTGACCTCGAAAGTGTGTTGTTGATGCCTCCCTATTTCAATTTATTTCACCTTATTTTTAGATGTCCTCATAAAAAGACAAGTGTGTGTTCAGTGCCCACGTGAGCAAGCACAAACGCTATTTCCTGTTGTAAAAACCCCCTCCGCATAGGACGACCAGTAGGATGTTTGCGAGCTGTTCGTAACTGAGGCAACGAGGATTCATGACATGAACAGTGTAACAGACGGGCTGCGTATGTCTGTGTCCACTGGACTCAGCAGCTCTGTTAATGCAGCCTGAGAGCTTAGACGCACTAGCTTTAGCTTAGCTTCCCCAGCTGGTGTTAAAGCGTGATGTGGACCTGCTGGGGCCCTGTTCACATTACAGCACTGACTCCAGTTACAGCCTGGTTACTGTGGGATTAGTTTTCACCTCTGAAGGCTTCCACACCCGTTTTCTCTGATGCCCTGGTCGGTTAGAATAATCCTTTAATAATAATGTATTTAGCAGAGCTGCCGTTTTCAGTTAGTAGTTTTTAAAGTTGATCTTGTGTTCTATTAAATGTCAGAAAATTGTGGCAAAGGGCCGTCACAATCGGGACCGGATTAACCGTGGAGGTGGCCCTGCTGACCCCCACCTTTCCCCCTCCTTCTCTGCATTGTGGGCCAGTGTACTTCGCAGCCAACAGATCTTCGTTTTGAAATGAGAAAACCAAAATCGGGAAACAAGCTGTTTCCTGACGACCATTTATAAACAGGGGAACAAAAAATAGAAAATGAGGTTTTTGGAAATGAAAACAAAAAACAACCTATTCTGTTTTTTGATTCCCTCTTTATTTATTTATTTATTTATTTATTTATTTATTTATTGGCTTGTTTCCCAAATTTAGATTTTCTTAGTAATTCAAATTTGATTTAAGGACACTTTTATTTAGAAATATCCACCAGCACGAGATTATCTAACTCAGAGAACTTAATATTGCATAATATTGTCACCTTATATTGTGCTTCTTTGGTGGATACAATATTACCAAACAAATCAGCCCAAGCAAAGAACAGTGGTATCTGAAGGCAAATGCAGAAACATAAAATCGCGTGAAACACAATAAGAACACAATAACACAATAAGAATAATGCATACATTAGATAGCTGAAGAATTAAAGGTAAAAAGTGATATTTACATACAGTATTTCTCACCAAAAAGCATGATTGAGTCCTAACAAATGTATTAAATGCACCCTCTTCATCAAACATTTTAGAAGTCATTTTTTATCACATTTTCATCATTATTATTTGTGTGCATCAGACTCAATTTGTTAACATTTGTGCTCTCTTATGAGCTTCATCTGCAAAAAGGTGCTATACGAATAAAGTTTGATAATAATTGCATGTCCTGCTCTGTTGCAGGTGTGTCTGGAGGAGCCATAGTGGAGAACGGCTGTGTAATGAAAGACCCTCCGACCTCCGACCTCCACGATTATACCAACCACCACTGCAATGAACCCAGCACGACCCCGCACGGCGAGCCTGTCCTGCCCACCTACAAGCCGTCCTGCTCCTCCACCCCCATCTACTACAGCAGCCCCCAGAAAAGCTACTCGGACCTGAACCAGGACAGCCACAGCTTGTCTTCCCAGGACTCTGGTATCCCGACTCTGGAGATCAACCCTCCGGAGCCCATCCTCCACAGCCACCAACGCTCAGGCGACGGAGGCCTCATCCTGGAGTCCAGGCACGACTCTCCTGCCACTTTACCTTTAGATGACGATGCCTCTGACAGCAACGCCATCCGCAAATCCTCCACCTTCCCCCGCAGCGGGTACGACTCCATCCGCCATTTCAGCCCCGCCCTCAGATTATCCGCCACCACGGGGATGTGCATCGGGGGCGGAGCGTTAAACCGCAGCGATGACATCTCCGTGTGCAGCGTGTCCAGCATGAGCACCGAGCTGTCGGTCTCTAATGAAGACATCTTGGATTTCACCGTTACCTCCGACTCCAGCGCTATTGTTACCCTGGAGACGGACGACAGCGGCGCCGCTCACTTCTCGGACGTGACGCTGTCGTCATCGCCGGGAAGAGACTTATGGAGTCCTGTAAGAGCGTATCCGGGGTCAGGTGTCATGCAACAGGAAGAGGATGGCAGGCAGAAGAAACTGGGACCTCTAGCAAGCTTATTCAACAAGTAAGTTCAGATGTGAGTCTTTTAAAGGAGAACTCTACAATATCTACAGGGGTGTTTAGGTGGATGTGTGGCTTGTCTCAAACTAGAAACACACAGCACACTCCTCTTTTTTTTTTATGTCATCATCATTCATTCTTTCTGACTCAACACAGGCGTCATCATGTTTTTTATCATAACCAAAACCTACTTAAGATATGGCCCTTCCAGTCAGTCAGACACTGAACATACGTTTACAGCGATGACGGAGTATTTCCTGATAGTCATGGCCGATAACGATAAGACAACAGATCATTTCACATTTTTGTAGTGAAATTCAGTATTTCCTTACCACAATACAAAATGAGAAAAAATCTATATTCTAATATACATATACATCTATAAAAAAACAAATGTTATTGTGCTATGAGTGGTCAAAAATAAAAAGGAAACATTGTAGGCAGCCTCAGTGAGAGAAGTATACATTCTGTACTTCCTCTCAACACAGACTCTTTGTCGGAGGCCTTGCTCAAAGTTGCTTTACAAACCTTACTTAACCAAGACATCCTTCTCAGCCCTCCCACCAGTCTTGCGTATTACAGCTCAGAATCTGACCCTCTCCTCTGCTAACATCAGTAAAGTTTAGGGCTGTGCTTATTCTTGCTGCAGTATCACTTCACTGAACTGGCTTGTCTCAAAGCAAGGACAGGAAAGATCAACAACAGAGGCCAACACAGGAACACACCAATAAAACCTGCTTGATGAAACCAAGTTGTCCCATTAACCCAGATCACAGCATCACCATCTGAGCTGAGGAACATCCTGCTAGAAAACCACACAGCAGCACTATAGAGTTTGCTCAGAAGTATTCTAGGGTACCACGCTGATGCACCGTCTAAGACCGTACTGTCATGCTATTGAGAAGTGTTACTTCCCAATACTGTGTGTTTGTAATGATTCGGGGTGTGGTGTTTCCTCCTCTTAAACAGCTGTGTGTATTGCAGGCAAAGCAGAATGGGTCTTCTAGCGTTCAGATATCGATGCTGCTGCTGCACCCCATCCAGTCTGTGATTACTTTAATGTTTTGACCAACTGTGGCCCGGCAATTAGCCACAGTGTTTTAAAATATATCCACCAAAAAATATAAAAACTGGGAGAGAAATTTGAAGGACACAGTAAGCACACCAAAAGCAATAAGAGCAGAGTGGAACAGAGCAGCAGGCTACTAGGTCATAGGTCAACCTGTTGATCAAACAAAGCCTGGCAAGTTGCCACAAGAGCCTTCATTATCAGCTTTTAATGACCCAGTAAGACTCCTCGTATAGTTTTCATTTACCTCCAGTTTTGCTGTGGCTGTGTTGATGAATGACAATGACTCATGATGAGTTTATAGCACAGCCTACTGTAGGAGTGTTGAAATTGTATGGAATACTCTGCAAAGTCAGTTTGAAGTTCCTTGAAGTTGGTTTCACTCTCACTGACCTTGATTATATTTTGCCACTAAGAAAATCATCAAGTCGACCTTTCCTTTCCTGCTGTGCCACATTCCACTTTATATTGAGGAGCAGAGTTTTCCCTCAGTGAATAGAAAAGAGGATTTAGCAGCACCTAGTCAAACTTTTATTTCTTTTTTAATTCTTGGACTGGGCTGCGGGTAGAACATTCTTTTCACAGCTGTAACCTGATGCCTGCTGTGTTGTTTTATGGTGTGTGTGTGTGTGTGTGTGTGTGAGTGTGTGTGTGAGAGTGTGTGTGTGAGAGTGAGAGTGTGTGTGTGTGTGTGTGTGCACAAGATTGGCCATGATTCAAGGTTTTCTTCAAGGTTCTAAGACCTACGGAGTGCTTTAAAACTTGTAATTAAAGCCCGTAATTATAGAATTAAAGAGCTGGCTAATAAACTATAAAAATGAAAACGTAGCACGACCAGCAGGTCAAAGTTTGACTTTGTCCAACAATTGATTTATGATCTGCACTTTGTTTAATGCTAATTAGCAAACCAAGATTATACACATGGTACATATTATACCTCCTAAAACACAGCATGTTGACATTGTGGGTATGATACTCTAAACTAAGATTATGAACATGGTAAAAAATGATACCCACTAAACATTGTGACCCCCCCAAAACTTGTTCTATTCCCATGTTGTGTGCTTTTGGTCGGCTTGCTAGCGTTAGCCATGCGTATGCCTGCATTCAGGACTCCACCTAGTTTTGTTCAGAAGTGGAGGGTGTGTGAGCTGAGGGACGTCCGGGGAGCTGTGAGCATTCACTGAGGTGAAGCTATCTCTTAATGGATGGTAAATACCTCCAATCTGAAGGCCTGCTTGTCTCCTTTTCTATTTCTACACATGTTAATACAGAGAATGCGGCGTGTGGGTGTGGAGCACTTGTTTAAAGGCATCTTCGAACTGAGTAACAAAAGTAAAGTAACAAGTAATGAAACAAAATACTCTTGCTGCTGAGTGATTAGTAATGTAATCATTTTTTTAAAGAGTATAGTAACTACACTGATTAACGCTAGAAATGAATTGTCCGATGTCAATCTTTTTTTTTAAATATTTTGTAGTGAAAAGCTGCTGCTACAGTATGAAACATTTATGCATTCACAGATTACTGTCCTGTCTGTCACGCATTCATCAGGCCGTTCAGTGGTGGTGGGTCATGTGAGAAAGTGACACTGATGCATACCCTCTACTTCAATTCATTCTGCTCAATTTTAACATCCTCACAAACTGAACCTGGTTCTAAAATGTCAGAAAAGGTGTCCCTGGTTTATTTACTATTACTATTATTTAACTATTTATTTGACAGTAATGGATTTTAGATTAAATCAATCAATTGCATGTAGTGTGGCGCATCACATGTTACATGGCAGCACCTCCCTTGACACCACCTCCCCTTTACCATTCCACTTATCTCTCTGTGTTCTCCCTCCTCCCTCACATGCAGAAGTTACTCATTCCCTCAGTGCCCTTCAGACTCCTTCTCCTCACAGCCATTCCTCCCATTCCTCCCCTCCCATTTGTTAAGGCAGGCCTCTCGTCGCCCGTTCCTCCACAGGCTCACTCTGGCTGAACATGGTGGCAGAGCGTGACTTTTTTCCCTCTCTGTAACTAAAACTAACAAAGTCATGGGCCTAGATCTTGACTGAAGGAGGGCTTTGACTTCATCAGGAGTTTTTGTTCTTATTTGCTCTTCTTTGGAAGCTCGACCTCCAGGTGCCTGTTCCTCTGTGTTTTTGTTTGGGGGGGAGGAGGTTTTGTTCTGACCGAGCAGAATGGCAACTCCATCACTTCTTCTCTACATTGACAGGTAGGGTAACCAGCAGATGACATAAAAGGTTTCTTTTATGGTTGACATGTATGTCCTGCAGTTGTTAATTTCTGCCTGTGTTTTGTGTGCCAGCAAGCAACAGATTTGTCCAGAAGGTGAATAATGTGGCTTTTGTGCTGACAGCCTATTGGATTCAGTGTGTTCTGTTTGACTGTTCTAAAAACATCTTGGAGCAGCTCTACGCCCTGCTCACTGCTGTCTTTTACGATGATCTTGTACTAGCTTGTTTGGTGTTTCTGTGCCAGGTGCTTTCATTGTTGGCTGATGAACCACTGGGAACACCTTATCACCTTATTTTCACACACAAGACTGAACACAAGCGTTGTGAAATCCTAATATTCTTGGGAGACTGGGCCACAAACCAGTGCAGTGCTTGAATTCAACGTATAAACAACACCCCTGCCAGCCCTCTTGGATTTTCTAGCTGTTCCACTTGAGCACTCGGCCATGGCCGCAGCCATTCAGCTGTCACGTTGAGGCACATTTGGCCCGGACTGAATGCAAATCATGTTCCTGCGTTGTGGACATTTGTTTGGTGGCATACACGGAAGCTGAAAACATGATCGTCTGATTGCTGATGTGCTGGAAAAATGTGTTGAAGGTCGAGACTTAGTCAGGCCTTGTTTTGTAAAGGTGGCACTCTGCACTTCAATCTATGCAGCATTGTTTTATAGTGGCTCACAGGGTTACTCAAGTTCATCACTGCCTGTATTTCAAAGCCTGGTTACAGTGATATTGATTCTCAAACACTCTATCCATGTTTGTGTTTAAACCACCACCAGCTGGATAGCAGTGCTGTAAACGTAAACTGAAGGCTAGGATGTTGGATGTGAGCGCGACTGAGAACGCAGATTTTATGCATATGGTGATGTGTCCTCTATACTATGAGTTTTTCTTTTTTTTTAAAAATTACAATATATTGAATGGTAACCCCTGTATTGCAATTCAAAGATAAATCTATTTGTTATGTTACCTAATGAATACTTCTCTGGCTTAGCTTGAACGTTCATTATTGACTTTGGAAATGGTACTTTTAATGGTAGTGAAGTCTTACATAATGTTCAAGCCAGAACTTTCAGCTGCCTCACATAGTCTTCTTTGGCGGATGGGATTTGCTCATTTGTCATCATGTGACCTCAGTATCAAACTTTGGTCTCATTACAACGCATGATAACAAGTGCATGGGTCATAAACTTGTCTTATTGCTGACGAAGACTGCGATAAGTGGAGATAAATGCCCTGATAAAGGCAACCTCTTCTTTCTATCATCATCCTCTCTTTAGATCAGATTTCCATCCTTTTCCTCATGCCTTTGCTTCTTTGTGGAATGTAAGAGAATGTTTCTTTCCTTTTTTATGTGCTGCTGTTGGAGTTGGTTACTTTGATTACAGCAGATATTTCCACAATCAAATGAGAGCTTCCCTTAGCAGCTCTACACATGAGAAATGCTGGAAGACGTGATGCGCCTCACACAGCAGCATTTTACAGTTATCTTTCAAAGAAACGTTGTTCCCGAACCTGCCGGTTGCTTGATCCGCTCAGTGTTTTCCCTGTACTGTTCTGAAAACAGCCGAATAAGCTTAAATGTCACTGATGGAACACCATTACTGCGTGTTGCACTGTGTTCAGTCTGTCAGAAGAAGAGTTAAATGTGCTGGCCTTTAATGTCTGTGTTGCCATTCAACTTCTTCATTAAACCCTCGAGTTAGCCACAGAATGAGGAAATACCTCCCACTGCGTGTGTTATCTTTGTGCACTGCAGTATCAGTAAGCAGAGTGGAAAATATGCAGGACTGATGCGGAACGTGCCACTATGAGAGAGGCAAGAGTGAAGTGCTGCCACTGGAAAGTAAATAATGTTAAAGGTGGCGTGCTGGCTCACTGACTGTGAACATTCGTACCTTTCTGTGAAATTCAAACCTAGATTTTCTCTCTGTTATGTGTGACTTGTCACTAGTTTCTTATGGATTAGTTAGGGGACAGAAAAAAAACCAGGTTGTTGTCATTTTGTTTACAGGTTGCCGTGGGGAACCAGGCAAAAACTGCACTGATAAACTGATGTCCTCACAAACGGTAGAGAAATGTGGTTAATGTGTATCTGTGGTGAGTTTCATAAGTGATCACGGCAGCCTGTGCACAGCTGGTCAGGATGTTTGACTTTGACCAGTCACACTCTAATGGACTATTGCATTTGTATTTTGTCAGCCATTGCTTAATCAGCGTGTCTTGGACATTATCTTGCATTAACTTACAAAAAGCTGGATTATTTTATACTCCTGATCCTGACCGGTCATGGACCCTTATCAACATTTTGCCAAAACACACATTTTATGGAGCTGTACACACATTGGTTTGTACTGGGTTGCAACAGTCAGCACAGTGGCATTACTATTACTAGTTTTTAAGTTTTTAGAATTTTTAGGGCCAGTAGCATCTTTCCATTGTGTTATTGGCCATCTCTTTACAACAGTAACGTCCTGCATTTGTCAGGACTTAAGAATTGTTGTCCTCCAATAGAGCTGCAACAAACAATAGAACTAGTTTGATAATAGATTAATCACTATGCAGATGTTCAGCCTCTCAGATGTTGAGATTTCCTGCTTTTCTCTATTAATTATCATATTAAACTGAATTTCTTTGGGATTTGGACTGACAAGACAATTTAAAGAAGTAACCATGGACTTTGAGGAACTGGGATGACCATTTATTACTATTTACTGACTTTTTATAGACCAAACGATTAATACATTAATCTAGAAAAGAATCATGAGATTAATTGATAATGAAAATAATTGTTGAATAAATAAAAGTTGCAGCCCTATGCTCCAGTCATTGATAAATAACCCTGAAGCATACTGCTGCTGAGATACAGTGTTAATCAGTGAACATGCAACAACAGAGGCAGCGTGTACTGCAAGGTGAAGCCTATTAGCATATTTAAATGTGCTGCATTGGTGGCTGCATCATGGAGCACAGGCCAGAAAACAGCAATGATTGACAGGGAAGCACCACCGCTATGTGTGATTTGGTGCAGCTACCCTAAAAATACACATTTTATTATTTAGAGATGATGCAGAATTCATAGTTCCTTTAGCTAGTAAGTGTAATTTTGACTGTCGAAGGAAACTAAGGAGGTTGTTCTCTTTCCCAATTTTGTCAGAATCTGGTCACTTTAACTCCAAATTCATAGCAAGAAACAAAATGTATCCTTTGTACAGTTCTCCAACAACATCTGCACTGTTATAATTTGGTTTCAGCAAGTTATTCATGAGCACAGCAGAAGGCCACATGTCTTGATGATGACAGCCGTCTCCAAAACAAACAAGCTGCAGCAGACACGCTCAGCTGCGAGTGAAAGATGCCCTCCAGCCTGTAGCTGTGTCTGTTCTGTGTTTGGCAGCGTGTTGCCTGTCATCAGTACCCTGGAGGTGACCCAGAGAGGTCGCACACGCTGCGGGTAAAAGGTCAAATTGATCAAACGGAGACAACTCGTGTAGTCAGATCTCCTTCCCATCTCTCCAGGGTCCACTAAGGCCAATTAGCAACACAACCTATTAAACACAAAAGTTAACTGATACAGCAAACATTTCCTATTGATTGAGTTGCCTCTCAATGAGATTCAGCCCAGACGACCGGCGGGATATGGCCTCTTTGATGTCACAGCTCTTTACTCGGTCATGTCACGTGGCCTAGTCAGAGGAGGTGTTTTATTTGACCAGTTTATTCATGTCTTTTCACAACTAGCCTCTATTCAGGCTTTCAATTAAAGCCGCCGCTAACAGCTCTGTGTCAGCACCGCACTAATGCATGAAAGAAAGGAATGGCTGGCTAAATGGTACAGTGAACCCAGCTGAAAGGAGGACGTCTTTCCAGCAGCTCTGCATGTGGTGTTTAAACAGCAGCTGATTTCAAGCATGCGGGTGATTTTTGAGTCCGAGCAGACAGTCTAGTGGTTAGATGAAGTGGAAGGATTTTCAATGAAAGCAGTCTTTTTAGCAGCCGTAATGGTCGATCATTGCTGCATGTAGCATGCTGCTGTTGCTGTGTAATGGGTTCTACACCTAGTTTCATGAGCCCCATGACTGTGACCAGCCTGCCAGCTCACATGATGTCACACAGGATGGTAAAGGCTCTCTGGGTGGCCCCCTACACTTCTGCTCTTCAATCCACAGATCCCTTTTGTGAGCTTATCTCAGAAACATAATGCAGCTCTGGGGGCCCCGGCGTCGACCCAGGGAAGGCCGAGATCATAGCTTGTGTTCCACTTTTCACTCTGTGGTATAATGACCTAATTTATTCCAATCTAATCCCCCTCTCCACTCGTCTTTCAGGAGCCTGTTTGCCAGGAGGGTGAAGGACAGTCGGCCAGTGGAGCAGAGGGATCCAGGGTGGAAGTTGTTTGGGAAAGTCCCGCCACGGGAAGGCCCCACGAAGGACTCTAAGAGAATACAAAAGGTAGAATCATTATCACATGATAAATGAGCACCATTCACCTTACTGACTATATTTACTTACACAGTAGACACCAGGGTACTGTTAGAAACCAGTCAGATCACAGGTTTACACACACTTCATTGATCTGATTACTCTGAAACCACAGGTGGTCGGTAATCTGATTTTGTCCTGCCCTCAATGCCCATAGTTTTTGTACATACTCAGATAATCAGACATTTCAGTAGATTATACAGTCTGTGTTTATGGTAGCTGTTTTCTGTTTGGGAGAGGTTGTTAGTCTGCTCTAACTGATTAGTAGAGACTGTTCCGATGTCATTTTCAGTCAACGTTATGTTATCTGTAAGCTAGCAAGAAGTGAATGCATTACCCGTGTCTGGGGCATAGTGCCTGTGTGCTTGTGTTCAGCTCAGTCTCTGACTCCAAGAAACCAGATACTCCAATCCTTCCTGTTATTCCCCTGCAGTCTCTCTCCTTTTTCCTGTCGTCTCTGTACATTTGCGAGGCAGATGCATAAAGCTCTACGGTCCGTGCAAACTTTTTACTCAAGTCAAGACATTTTCAACTTTACATTGACTTTGTATGCAATCACACCGCTTCTAAATTAACTTTGCATTCTGTCTGAACACGCAGTAACGCTGCGCTGTTCTCGTCCACACTTGCCACCATTTTCAAAGCATTTTTTCCCCTTTTTTGTCTTCTAAAAGCGTGGAATAATCGGACATCTTAAGAGATTTCCTATCATTGTCTCAGATTTCTCCAGATTGCGGATTGTCCGTTATTTGATGTAATTCAAATGTGGTTTGACTCCAGTGTTCAGAATTTCTCCCAACAACAGTAATATATCCACTGACAACGTTAAAATCATCCTGAGGCAAACTCTGTCTTGTTGTGTACACAGAAACATCTGACGCTCCACTCAGTGGCGTTTTGTGTTTTATCCTATATTAGATATTAGCCACGTGAACCAACAATAGGTTTGTTTGTTTCACAGGCCCTTTGTTTGTTTTTCTATGTATTTAGTTTGAGGCTGTCACAGACACCGTCGCCTTCCTGACTTTGATCAACAGTGGAGTTGTTTGCTCTAAGCAGCTGATCCCCGCTGACTGCGTATGAAGTCTGTAAAAAAAGTCTAAGCAAGTACCTCAAAACAATAATAGTTGATTTATAGTGAGTAATATTAAATACAACTATAGGTGTATCAGGATGTTGCTTTATTACATTTTTAATAGTCTGTTCTTATTTGATTCACGTTTACCATTCCCAAATTGTAGCCCAGCCGCCCTTGAAAACAAGCGCTCCGCGTGTATCTCATGCATTTGGTTTATCCGGCCTTGACATAGCCTGTCAGCTGTGGTTTATGTTGCCGCATGACCTGTACTACGATGAGAAATGAGTGACAGTGTGATGAACAGCAACATTAGCTCTGTAGTGTAGGCTTCAACTTAAATGTACCGCTTTAAGATAATGGCCTGAATCTACTTTTGTAAACACATTGATTATTTTATCTGCAAAGTTTTAGGCTTGTTTTCACTTCTTTATTATTATTATTTTAGATTGATTATTTTAATTGTACTGATTTCAAGTGTAGTTGACATTTGAACTCTGTTATAACAGCTGTTGTTCAAATGTCAAATGGGTGAGCAACCAGTAATGGCTTTTAGCAGAGCTTATCGGTGTACCATAAAGACCAATAAGTATACTAACATTATGACTCCAGCTCAGGACAGATAACATAAGAAATGATGAGAGCGCAGTGTAACTGAGTACAATCTCAGTTGTGTTCATGAATACCAGCAGCGCAATGCCCCGAGCACCAACATCAGTGACATTTATGTTCTGAAGCTATTTTTAGAATTCCACATGCTGAAAAGCAAACAACCAGTCAATGTCTTTCCAACAGTTCTCAGAAACATAATGGACAACGTTCACCCGACAACAGAAGCCTTATTATACACGGGGAGTGTATAGTACGCAATCATGGTTTTTCATAGCATGTGGAAAATGACAATATGCACACAACAGTTCTTATAATCTATCAAAGCTGTAGCACTTTGACAGTAACCAGTCAGATAAGGGTAGAGGTGCTGCTTGTAGCAAGTAGCAAATCTACTTGGAGTGATGCTAGTGCACATTTCCCAGTAGTGTTCAGTGGCGTAAATATGTTTAAAATCATGTTGCTTTTTTCATGTAGCTATTTTCAAAATGATGCAGCTAACTTCTTGAGCTACGTTTCCAGGAGTTAGCTCCCCCCCCCCCCCCCCCCNNTAAGTAGCAGTGTAAGCGCTACCAAATGCTATATTGCTACATTTGATTTCTCTTGAAAAAACAAAAATCTTGGAAGTCATAAAAAAATAACACCACAAAAGTCACGAGTGCATTTAACATGAGATGTTTTTTGGTGTGAAATAGCTTCAGTGTATCTACCTGTTTCTGAGTAGCTTGTACTTGTTAGCTTCCTACTTTCAATAAAAGTGTAATGTAGCTGTGTTTCGACTATTGACACTTCTGTTGTAGCCCTATGAAAGACACATAATTACTTGAGACAAAACTGCCCAAATAAATGATCAGCCACTGATTCCCTTCTTTTAAAACATGCCCTTGACAAGAATTTGACTATTTTGTGTCAGACTGTAAGCTCTGTGTGGCAGAAACATGCCACGACTATGTGCTGCAGTGTTTGTGTTGCTCGGCAATCTGAAATTCTAAATGTCAAGGTCTCTGAGAGCGCTTTGTTAGATAGCCAGCTTATAATTTCCCCCTGCCATTCAGAAAGCAGACAGGCCTAGTTAAAGAGCATGACGGCTCTCTACTGGTGAAATAAACCAAAGAACAAGATGGCAGCTTGTAATTAGAGCCAGCTGAAACCTGCTATTGTTCTGCCATTTACCCTGTGCCTGATATCAGGGAAGTAGCACTCTCCTCTGTGCGCTTTGTGATGTTGAAGCCTGGTTGAAAGACCTGTTAATGTGCAGTTCCTACTACAGTTTACATAACAGCCCTTTAACATTACACACATTGACGTTAAAAATGTTGATTATCTTGCTGCGTTGGTTAGAAATTGGACCCCTAGGATTGAAATGCTGTCTCGCACACACTCATGTACACACCCACATGTGCTGAATATCTTAAGTCCATCTCATCTGTGGTTGTAACCTTATATTGGCCCTCAGGAATCAGTTAACAAGGCTAGGCTTTCAAGCTTTTGTCTTGCCATGGAAGCTGCTGTTCTAAGGCGGGGTCAGTAAACCCTCTTTCTCTGTGCGTGTGCGTGTGTGGAATGCTTTATTTGCCTAGGTTATTGTTCAGCTGCTACGAGACGCACTGTGCGATTTCCACCAGCAATTTTTCCCCTTTGAGAGCAGCACTGTGAATCAAGTTTTATATTGTAATTTACACCACTTTGTGTTGCTGTGAGTCTGGGGACTTGGTGCTCCAATATATCTGGAGGCCTCAGCACAATGTCTGGTCTTAGTGAGTTGTAGCCTACTGAAGGAAGTAATTGTTCTGTAACATGCGGAGCCTCTAAATCACATTGTGTGGCAGCCCAGACACATCTGAGTTACTGGGATGTGGGAGTGAGGTTGAATTAAAAGTGGATAATATTCCCAGCAGGAGTTTTCATTTTAATGTTAAGTCATTTAAAACCCTTCTAGGCTTAAATAATGAGGGGTTTCGAAAGCCAGTAGAGACAGTTTTGCATAAATTAGGCTGAAGCTTTTGGTAGCTAATGTTTTGTGCTGATAGTAAACAATTTTAATGCCATAAAGTGTTTTATTGAACATTTATGAAGCAGCCAATCATGGGACGCTAACAGTCTACTACAATTCTGGAAGAATATTATGAAAAAATAAGGCCATTTGATGTTGTAGAATAAAAGTCTGAATGAGAGTGTCCTTTTTAACATATAATTCTACAAGAAGTGAACCAAATGTCATCAAAAACAAACTGACAGATGGGTGATATTAGAAAGGGAAAACAAAAAAACAAAACAAATTCTCTCAGGTCTCCGTGAAAGCGTCTTTGGTTTCAGTTTCTTATCCGCAGCTATAGCAACTGCATTCACATTCAGACTTTTACTTTGTTTACTTGTCTCTGGTTGTCAACACTATTGATTATCAGTGGGCTATATGGATAAAATCTTATTTCACAATATGTGTAGTTATATATTACAATACCAGTATACAAATTCTGGGAAATCTACTAAGACACTGTCAAACTGTTTGTCAAGTATTTTATTTACTAGGTTAGCCAAAAACAAACAAACATATAATTTGTCACATGAATGCAAAAATCATTTAAAAAATCCAAACAGAAAATACCTTTTTATTTCTCTGATTCCCTGCTTTGTTCTCACTACCTGTGCTCCTTCTCTCAATTCACTCTCTAGTTCACTTGACCACCGCTGCACCCTCTCTCTCTAAAACTCCAACTTTGAATCTGTTAAACAGCAACAGACAAATCCAACTTGTCCTGCTTGTACTTAACAAAAAGTCAAACTAATTTAATCAGATTGAATCTCTTTATTCGAGCAGGCAGACATTCAAAGCGTCATTGGAAACCCTCAATAGAAGCGTAGAATGTAAAACAAATGGTCGGTACAACCCTAGGTCACATCTTGGTAGAGTATGGAATATTAAAAAATAAAATTAATAAACTTTTACAGCTCATAAACGGGTAATATTGGCTTCTGGTTAAAGCTGTACATCTACAGGTCTGACTGCTACGTTGTCAGGCAGCCACTGCATCTATGTATAGTGAGGAACAAGGGTGACAGTTCTCCCAGAGCACACAATGTATAACTCGCATCGGCACTTGAGCTGCAGCTTCTTGTTGAGTCTCGACTGGATTAAGAGAGCAGAAGGCTGAGTGGCTGAAACCTGATCCATTACTCTGGGGTTGATTAGAACGACTGCCAGGGCACAGCGGAGCGCAGAGCTCCTTTCAGTGCAGCGATGGTGACTAATAACACACGGCGGTGCTGATTTGCTGACACACAGACACACACACACACACACCAGCAGCAGCAATAGACCTGATGCAGAGCCGATCAGTGTACCGTCACTGCTCACAGAGAGAGAGAGAGAGAGAGATGGGGGGTGATAGAGGGGTATCATGCTGCTGCTGCATCGCTTCCAATGCGGGGTGTGTCCCTCTGTCGGCCGCTTGACTGTCCCTCTGCCCTCCTCTTTCACCTCCTCCTCGTCTTCTCGCTCCTGGGTGCCCTGTTGCCAGGAGTGAGCCCTCGGGAGCAGCAATGACGCTAGGCTAGGGTTTTGGAAAACGAACCCCCACCGGAGGATTGTCCATCTGTGAGGAACTGCAGCGTTCATGGTGAGTGAGCATTTGCACTTGCGAGGACAAGTGGGTGAGCTCGGTGACCCACCGTCTCTCTCCTTGTCTGGCAGAATCAGAGGGCATTGGTAGTCAGAGCGTATAAGAGAGGCAGCAGAGGAAGAGGATGGCTCGGGTTTCACATAATAGCCTCTTTCAGCTTGTGGTAGCGCTGTGCTTCGTGGTGATGATAGTCAGGATGTCTGTTTCTAGAGAGATGAAAACATTAGATTTCCTGCTTGTGTTGACAGACTAATGTCCACCCAGAAGATGATCCATCATAATTGCATGTAGCTCAGCCAATAGCCTTCAACAAAAGCACGTGCAGCAGCAGGACAGCAACGTCTCTTTTCCATTTTGACGTTTTGAAGCCTGTCAAGGGATTTCCTCCTGCTGTTATCTCTGATGCAGAGCTCTTTGGACAGATTGAATCAGTGGGATTCTGTTTGTTTCCGCTTTCCAGTAAAAAAAAAAAAAAAAAGCAGTGGATTACATGTGAGCATTTGTTGCCAGCGCTCGTGGTTCCATCTGTTTGTCTGGATATTGTACATTTTCTTCATGTTGTCTCAACAAAGCTGCCAGATTATTGCAGCCTCACTAACAGACTTGTACTCCTTCAGCTCCCCTGTGGAAACTGTAATTCAACTGTTGCTGTTTCAGCTGCTGTGTGCCAAAAAATACTACATACAAATCAAATCACTGTCTGAAATTCATTCAAATATATTGAATTATCTCAACAATATTGTATCAGATCTTAAATAGGTGTCATTTGCAGTTTTCTTTTACTATGAATAACCAGATATGATAACTGTGACTTAAGCATTTGCACGGCCTTCATTAAATGGATATGGATTTGGTTGGTGTGTGTGATGAAAAATAAATGGACACTGTGGTTGTTGATTGTTCCTAAATTAAACTTTCCACCACCACAAGCTTTTTCATTTTTGGTGTATAGAAACAAAGTGCTTTGTTTTAATTCCTAAAACTCTCTTTTAACACTGAAAGAAATTAGACCAGTGTAGAGTAATCTGACTAAAGATTTCAGATGACCTGATGACCCCATTACACTGTCCTGAGAGAAACATGAAAACTGGTCATTAATCAAAAGCAGTGATCCTGTATCTCACTGTGAGAAACCCACACCCCATGCAAATGTAGAGATTCAGTGACCACATGTAAGGATGTTTTAAGTGTCTTGGGAAGGATGTGAGTATTTAGTAGCGCTCGGGCTCTTGTGTTGTAGCAGAATTATTTGTGTGTGTGCATGCAGTTAATGTGTTGACTGTCACAGAATTAGTAGAAAGCTTGCCTCATGAACGATTTAATTCAGATTCCAATGGGACTTGTAAAATTGGTGCACCCTTGAAGTTCACTTGCTTTGACTTTATTTGAGATATTTAACTAACTTTTTTTATGTATAATTATTTGTTTAAAAAAATCGTGATGAATTTGATTAAGGGTTCTGATGAGTGAACCTTCCCTGCAGTAGCTGCGTGACAAACGCACTTACCCACTGCCGACCACACAGAAGCCATCTGACTCATTCACACTTTGTTCTGTGCTTGATGAGCTTTGGAAAACACTTTGGGACTGCCTCAAGGGCTTCCCAGTCAAAAGCTGCGAGTTTGGCACACAGTGAAACAAGGCCTAAGCACCCTGCTGTGGCCTTTCATCTCGCAGCTTACATTATTGAGGAAGCTGGTGGTGTTTTCGTGAGGATGTGATACATAGATACCAATCCAAGGCAACATGGGAAGAACTTTGTAACAGTGGTGTACTTTCAAGCCCTCTTGGCTCCTTTTTGCATACGGGAACTTGCATTTACCCAAGTAGTACTTGAGCATAACAACAATTAATGTCCCCTTCAGAGTGATGCTTCCTAGTGTCTATAGTTTAGACCATAAAGGCCATTAGCAGCCAGCATGACAACCAGCCAGCCAGCCAGTGCAGCCAGGCACCCACAGAGCTCTTACACCACTACCAGGAAATTGGAGAACTTGTGACAAAGCAGATTGGCCTGATGGCAGGGTATCATGGGATACAGTTGCTATTCCAGCAGCTAAAAGCTACTACCATCACACACAGAAAGAGGGAAGTTCCACCCTAGAGGTGAGGGGTAAGGAGGGTTTTTCAGAAATGTATAATCCATTTAGATAACCAAAGTTTCTGGTTAGTGTTGCCAGGTAGCTATTCATAAAAATGTAACTTAATTCAGAAACAATAAGGAGCCGGGAGCTCTGTCACAGGGATGCATTGAGTTCTGTTATATGATCAGTTGTACACTTGTTTCTGGAATCTGTGGACTTATCTGTACATCAGTGTACGGGTTTGAAACCTGTCTCGCAATATCCTGTTACAAACATCTTTTGATGCTGAAGGGTGACAAATCGAAGGCGTGTTGCAGTAGAAATGGTTAACAGAGCTCTGGGAGGAAGTGCTGATTCACCTGTAGGACTAGTTATTGAGAGGCAGAGGAATGTACAGTCCATTGTTATTGATGTGCTTACAACTTTCTCTAACAAAGCTTATCAGCTGACGTTGTTTCTCACCCTCCCATACTAGTAATACTTTTACACCACTCACTTCACTGTTGGTGCCGCACGTTTTCTCACGTCACATCCACACACAGCTCTCAGCACAGCGTCACACTCATCCTCTCTTTTGTTTCACCTTGCTGGTAGCACCTGCATTGCTGTTGAACAGATGCCACATTGCTCCCTTCTCTCCTCCCCCCACACTCTCTTCTTCCTCTCCCTCCCCTCCTCCCTTCCTCCCTCTCTCTGCAGTATCCATCCATTCTCAGGGCGCAAAGCTCTGGCTAACCTTTTTCATCTACCTGCTGCTCTTCCCTCGGGTGCACACACTGTCTTTTAATAAACCAAGCAGCAGTACATGCATGTTACACGTCTATTAAAGCACAAAGCTATTCAATACTGACTAAAGGCAAACCTGGTCAAGCATTCACATAAGAAGCAGGTTGTAAACAAAACCACCAAGTTATTCAAACTGATTGACGGGAAAATGAAGGCAAACAGTAAAATGATCACCCAAGCTATTGTAAATACTTTGACCTACTATTTACTGTTGTTGTGCACACCTACAGTATTCTCATACAAAAAGGAATGATGGGTGATATTTCAGGTGCACACACATTCAGGTTTACCTGAAAATAAAGTGATCTAGATAATCTGGGGTTGTCACTCCCCTCCTCCCTTCCTCCCTCT